AAGCAAAAGTGACAGGTACTTACTCTGGGGAACAAATTATTATTCTGAAGCCTTTCAAACTCTGCAGCCATCTCTAATGATTTAATGCAAAGGTACTCCTGAGAACATATCGCACACCCCTACTTCCCCATAAAACTGTTTCCCCAGCGCTAAGGACAGACTTTCCCTTTGAAGGCCTGTATGGGGCAAAAAGCTATTCCCCACCCCCCTGATTCTTTTAGTTACAGGTACCCAACAGCTTTTGCATGGATTACAACTGATGTAACCTAAATGAGGCGTGTTCCCTGCCTCCACACCAATCCCCTGAGACACAGCAACACACACCATCATACCAAAGAACCACAGAACATGAAATCTGTGACAGCTTGCCCTTCCCCAAGATCTCACAGAGGGCAAGCAGGAGAGTCTGGCATGGAGCAAAACAAGACATCCAACACCAAAGGAAATGCTGAGGGTTTAGGATTACTGTAGGGAAGAGAGTCTTTGTCTCACCCCACCCACAACTTGAGAGGGTAGAATTCACTCCTGCTGCTCCTATGCCAGGAGTGAGTCACCTGTACAGAACATATCTGTGATGCACACACCTGTACAGCAACAGCATGTAGTTATCATTGAGGGCTGCAGAACAGGATGTGAGGCACAGCCAAAGAAAAATGATCCCTCTACAATACTAAATTATTAACCAAATCCTTCCGTCATTGCAGTGGCAGGGAACAGGCAGTGCCCTCATCTGCCAGACCTTCACCTATGGGAAGTATTCCGGGTATTGTGCATGAGGGTCTGCAATGCTGACTTCTAGGATGTCTTAGGGAAATAATGATCTGTGAACATAGGGGGCTGAATTCAATGGCCCAGGACCCCTTTCTTATATTACAAGCTTAGCTCACAGTGCTCACTGAGACCAGAGCTGCCCGTTTAGAAAGACAAACAGATCTTTAATATGATCACTTTGTCTTAGAGGAATTGTTAGACAATTCTCTAAGTGTTCTCTGACTGTTTAGAGGAAATGTCTGACAATTCCTCTAAACAGAGACGCTGCATGCACATCAACAAAACTCATTCCCACAAGCTTGCACCCTTCCTCCTTTGCGATATATTTCAGACAGTCACAGAGTCCCAAGTCATTAAACAGCTTCTCTGTGCTGCCTTTCAGACCAAGGTCCACAGTGGCAATGCAGAGTGACACCAGGACCACGATAAATATTTCACTGCTCTATATAAGGTTGTCTCCTGGAAAAGTCTAAGTAGACTCTTACTCTGTGAAGGCCCTGCCGATCTTGGATCCCCTGCAGACCTAGTATGGGAGCTCTGACCCCATTTAAGTGGTATCTAACGACTGATATTTTAAAGATAAAACACCCAATAAATGCAGCAGCTGTGAACCCCACTCCCTCCCACGTTTCATGCAAGGAGCTGGAAACTTCCTTTGCACAGAGCAGAGAGGAGAAATCAGGTACCTCGATGATCACCAGCTAAGTCCAACACTGCACTGGCTGCTTCGTGAGTGCCGCCTGCCGTGCCCTGGTTTGTCAGTATGTATCCGTTAGCGGAGTTGGCAGAGGAGGCCACCACCCTGACCATCGTAACAGTGGGCGCTTGTTGAACTACATGAATTGCATGACCAGAGGGCTGCTGCGAAGTCACTATTGAGGCTGGCATATAGGCTACCGGCTTTGCCACTAGAGTGGATGGCCGGGGAGGAACAGCCATGATCACCGGCTGGGCACTGACAGGTGAGCCTGAAATGGAAGAGAGATGCTTGTTAGAGTCAGATGGAAGGCAGCCTGAGGCACTGCTGATACATAACGCTCAGCACCCAAGCATAAGGGAGAAGAATCATGGTTTAAAGGCCATGCTGGCCCCCTTCACCCTTATATTTCCTAGCTCCTAGGCAGTGAGGCTGAGGGCCACCATATGCAATGTTTATGCTCAGAACGCAAAGCTGCGAGTGGCCTGCACACTCGTAGGGGGTGTTGAGCTCCAAGATCACCACCCTGCAAATCTCTCCCCCCCAAGGCAGAAATAAATGCTGAGCTCTGTCTCCAACAAATGCTTTTATTAAGGAGCTAGTCAGAGAGGACTACAGGTACACACAGAAGCTTCAAGAGGGCAACTAGCCTAAATGGCCAAAGAGGAGAGGGAACAGTAATGACTGCAGCATTGTTTAGATTTGCCCAGGACAGCAGTAAGCTAGACTGAATACTGGTAGCAGTCTACCACAGCAGCACAGAGCTCCTTTTCCCTATTTCGGCCTGGAAGCTGAGGCTAGTAAGACACAGGCTCTAAAGCTATCTAATCTTCCTCAGTCTCCAGACCTACAAGGCAAGGGATGAATTTGCAATCAGATGCTTCCCTGACAGGTTGGCATTCCTCTGGCCACCAACCTACTTGCAGAGCATTCAATACTGTGGCCACCTGACAAGATGAATGCGCTCTCCTGCAATACAGAGACTACTTACCAGGCGCGCTTTGTGAATACCGATACTCTGGAACAGAGGCTAACTTTGACCCAAAGTCATGGTCATGTGCAATGGGTGAGCCCTCCCGGGACAGGCACTCTGGAGTCTGTAGGCCACTAGAGTGAGGGGACAGCAGGCCAGGATGAGTTGGGGAGGCTGGGGCACTCCTAGAATGCAGGACACAGTATGAATAGTCAGGCATCATCTGCACTTACCAAGAACCCATTCACAGAGAACCAAAGGCATCTCCAACAGCTGGAGCTTCTGCTCCGACAGCACCATGAAACCATTCTTCCCCTGTGTGTACACCCGCTCCCTTCACAAGCCCACAGGCCTGACACATGCATGCCAGCACTTTTCTGCAGCCGTGACCCATAGCAAGATGAAATCTGACCCTAAAAGGCACATGAGTCGACCTTTTTAAATACGTTTTTCTAACAAAGACCCTTTGATTAGCAGAGCCTGACATTTAAAACACACTCGAGAATTTTTCTGATCCTCTGGTGATGTGTAAAAGGGCTGAATGGGGCAGAAGCCCAGACCCCCCCAGCCCTCTCTGCCATTTCTCTTCTGCTCTTACAGGGGAAGCTGGCTACACAGAGACACCACCACAATGTACTCTGAAAAAAATATAAAAAATGTCTGCTAGCTGTTCAGTTATGGGAACCTCAGGTTTTATTCGCAACTAGAACAGATACAAAGAGCTCAGGAAAAGGTCGTCTTCAAGTTGACAGTACCAGGAATTAGGAAATTCTCAGGAGTACAAGTGTCACTTAAGTGAATTGCTGTTCAAAAACTCAAGGTAACAGCTACAAGCACTTCATTTCCCTTCTGACCAAGAAAGTAGCCAGCCTTAAATGAGAACATTGTTCTGCATGGAGGCATTCAAAAGTTTAAACATACAAGAAAAACTGTGTCTTCAAGACATCACCTCTATAAACAATGCTCCCAAACCCAGAGAGGGACAAGTATACGGAAGTCATTCCTAGACTCTCGAGCCAGTGCAGCAATTTAGCAGACCAACATAGATATTTGAAGACAGATGAGTTTACGGATTTCTAAATCCTAGGTCCTGCACAGTCATTTCTAGAATCTAAAACTGAACTGGGCGTGACGTTTAGCTGTCAGGTCTCACAGGATAAACTGATCACGTACCACTGGGCTGTGAAGAAGCCTGGCTTGATTTATATTCATTTTAATAGAAAAAGCTTCTGTCAAACAAGTATACTATCTGTGGGCTTCCCATTTCCTTTGACAATCAATAAATACATTCTTCTCTCTCACACTTCATGATGTGGAAGTCACTGGAGATATTGTTTTTCCCTGGTCTCCCTCCATTTTGAGATAACTTTTGGACATATAACAGCTAAGAAGTGTATACTGCATTAGGTACATTAGTTAGTGTTTAGCTTCTCCTCTACACATACCCCACTGGCTGGAGCAATTTCATTTCCTCTCATCTCATGTCTGAATCCCCACTGCTCATAATCATGACAAATAAAGTAATGTCCCCTCAAGAGTCTGGTTCATATATCAGACAGCAATTTCTCATATGACCTCATCCATATGTGAACCCCTCTTCCAAAACCAACAGCTACTGTAGTATACCACTTCTTCCTTTGATACCTGTTCTGCAACTCTTTGCAATTACAGCAAACACAGATGTATTAACAGTGATCTTATACCCACTAAAAAATAAACCCCGAGCATTCTCCAGGCATATCTAGCCATGTTACCATTCCAAATCCAATAGAGGAGGACAAATTTATTGTCATGACATATTGGACAACAATTCTTCAAAGGGTTTGGTACAAGAAACAGAAGAGGGGGCAGAGCTCACCTGGAGGAGAGGGGTCCAAAAGGTGTCCGAAAGCAGGACACACCCCTTTGCCTTCGTTTCCGGAATGCCTGCTCCACCAGCTTGGCTTCAGAGGCTGGGTCGATTCGCCAAAAAGAGCCTTTTCCAGGCTCCTCCTGGGAGCGTGGAACTTTAATAAAGTAACGGTTCAAAGAGAGGTTGTGCCGAATGGAATTCTGCAGGGAGGAGAGGAACGAGCCCGTTACTACACAGCATGGAAATAGCATACGAAGGTCAAATGGGCTTCACAGCCAGGCCAGAAGAGCAATATCCACCCCCTTCAGAATCGGTCGTAACCAAAAGCAAGCTGTGCATTCAGCGACCTTCACCAGGGGCAAGGAAGTAACTGGTAAAAACCTGAAGAAGATTACAAATAAGAAGTTTCCATCAACCGTTAAGGAAGATGGAGCTGTCTGCAGCCGCTTGGACACCTATTCCTTAGCAATACCTCCTAATGATAGTGAGCTCAGAAACTCTTCTGCAGTAAGATATGAAAGTAGAGCTTTTCTGAAGGCCTGGACAGTGGGACTGTGCTAGAATGTACTAGTGTACCTCAGAGGTAGCCTTTTACATTTTAGGCAAGTGAAAAAATGTTGTGTGGCTAAACTATTCACTTAGCAAACTGCTCATTTGTGTGTTTGAGCAAAGACCACTAGAGGCCGCCACACTCCGTAATAAAACGGGCTAATTAACACACCTTTAGACCTGTGGCTCTCCAATCTTTTTATTCTTGAGGCCTCCCTCAGAAAACACTGGCTCCTGGGGATAGCTCGATATTTGAATGCAAACAGAGTTCTTCCGGGGCCAAGAACTCAGAAAGACCACAACAGGTCAGAAGGATTCTAACACTACGGATTTCTATTTGAAATCTCTGGGTTTAATCTTGTGAATCGAGTTGGCACCACAGTGTTAACGCTGTGTGGCACCCTTGAAAGGGCCTCAAGGCACTCTGGTTGAGAATCCCTGCTTTAGACTGTCAGCAACCCTATTACCAAACCTACGCAGTTTGGCAGGCACCTGGAATAACATGAACAGTCCCATGTTGGACTAGGTTCCACACTGCCTGCCACAGGGCAGAAGAAAGCTACCGAGCCTACATCTCTGCAAACTCATTTCTCAACCTTCTTCTACCATGGTGTTTTGGTTTTTTTTTTGCAGTTGTCAAGGAACAAAAGTGTTTTAAAAATGAGGCTGCTGCTAGGGAAAGGAAGACAGCACTTCACCTACCACTGCAAGATGGCTGCAGCAGCTGCTGGTTAACAATGCACAGCAATGCTGTAGTCCAAGTTAAATTCCATATCCAATTGGAACTGCAGGGAAACCAGGGTAGACAGAGTGCATCTGATCATAATGCCAAGTGCAAAAAGCCGTGCTACTCCAGGGAGCAGGTAACAATGGGATCAGCATCTGCATGCAGTTTTTTGGTGCGTGCTGCACGTGTGGGGGGTGGTCTCAACGTCTTGAAACAACAATGCCCAAAGGCATGATGATGGAAGACAAGACATGGCAGGGGGAGCCCTGGCTACCACCCCATAAAAAGCAACATTTTTGTAGCTGAGCGCCCAAGCCTGACTTAATATTAAATATGTAGAAGTTGTATGCAAGTTGTGTGAGATTTCCAAGGACCGTGATGAATGTACAGACCCATGGCTCTTAATGTACCCCACTCCAAGATGATACTTAAGACCAGAAGGTTGATGCAGTGGGAAAGGAAAGCAACAATGGTGGCATCCTGAGGGTAACTACTGCAGTTGGAGACAAAAGGACAGAATGGTGGAGACATGCTGAGGTGGGGTAATCGCAAAGCATTTTCTGCAGAGGACTGTTCCCAAATACCTGGGTATGGTCACAGAAAAAAAAATAAAAATAAAAATCAGTCCAGCCTGAAGGGACGGGCCAGAAGCCGGAAGCAACTGCTAAAAGCAAGGTCAGGAAAGACAGACAGAACAAGGATCCCAGCCCCCAAGAATGAGAATCTTTGCCCCAAGCCCTCAGCAAAAAAAGAACAATAATTTCATCTAATAAAAAAAGAAACCCAAAGGATTTTCAAAGTCGGTAGGTTGTAGGTATAAAGACCTCACCTGCCAGCCTTTATCAGCAGTCCTGTAATATGGGTAATGCTTGGTGATATGGGCATAGATGCCACTTAGTGTTAATTGCCTGTCCTGGGCTGAGGATATGGCCTGCACAATTAGCTGAGCATATGAATATGGTGGTTTGGACTCATCCTAAGAAAGAATGGACAACAGAACGTTAGTCACTTCATAGTAAGACTTATGCTGGCGTTTATCCACAAGCCAGATAAAAGGAGAAAGACACCTTCATAGGCACCATTAAACGTTCTGCCAAGCAACAACGTTCTTTTCATAAACACAAACCAACCCATTCTGCTTCTAGGCTCCCTCCATTCACCCTCCCCAAGAGAGGTCCCTGTCCTTCCTAACACTCGAAATTTGCCAGGTTTATTTCATTTCTAGTTCCTCGCGTTGCTTCTCAATGAAAAACCTAGTGATCTTAAGGGATGGTTCAGTGAGAACGATCATTCAGTGCCAAAATCTCTGACGGAGTCTCTCTGTCTCAGTCATCAGGATGCAGCTCCCTCCTTATCACTCACTTTTCTTGCTTGTTGTTAAAATCCTAGAATTTACCCACCCTGCTCCCCTTCCCTCCTGATCCTGGACAGCAGGCCTCTCCTTCTGCCTGGCTTAGCCTGCACATTGTTCATAGCAGGATTTCCACCTTCCCCTTCCTGTCCTCCCCCCAAGTATTTTACAAAGTGCTGCATATGGTGGTAAAGCTCTTAATTAAAAGGAGAAAATACATTTTTTTTTTGGTTTTAATGCTCTTCTATAGCTTCCCAGGGGAAATCTGTGCCTATGGCTTCATACTTTTCCCTTCAAAAAGACTCAAAAGGTTGAGTTAGCGGCATTTAAGTGAATGCAGTAAATACATCTGGGCAACTAAAATGGCAGAGGTACCATCTGAGAGCCCACTGCCAACTAACATGAAGGGGCACGTCCACTACCCTAGTGAAAATGTACATCTTTCATTTGGGTTTGTACTTTTTCCCCCTCCCCAGCTCTAGTCAATGCGGGCAGCACGCTGCCAGCTCGAACTGCCTCTTCAAGAGCCCTGTGGGGTAAGTAATGTTTCTGTGAACCTTTGGGCTGTCCCCGCCAGATGCATCTGCCTGCTGTTCCGATGCTGCTTTTGCGGCGTATTCTGCTGCCAACTGCAGGTCCGAGGTAATGTTCTGAATGAAGCGATAGCCTGAGGACCCAGCACCACGGGGACTGGCCGGACAGGAGTTGGGAACACTGCGGGGGAAGAAGGAGGAGAGAGAACGTCAATCCATCTGCAGTTATTTATTACCAGAAATCAACAGGCATAGGTATAACTCCTAGCTTTTAAAGACCCCTCAGCAGTTTATAATTAAGCCTCTATATCCCCAGAGCCTATTCTTCTTTATTTGGGTTATCCAAACCATACAACATGGTCTCATTCAAGGTGATAAAACAAGGCCATGATAGATGCAGGCTTGATTCCTGACTCCATCACATTCACATCACTAGACCACACAGTTTCAAAGCAGAAAGCATGGTGCCTTCTCTGTGCAGCCAGCCCAGGACTTCACTGAAAACCAAATGCTGTATCAGAGCTTAGTTCTCCCAAATATCTAAGTTATAAAAGTAATTAGAGACTTTACACTCCAGTCATAGCTGATTAATGCTATTCTTTGTCTAGTGATCACTCCATTTTTCTGCTTCGCAAGGGCTGCTTCCTTTTACAATGTCATGGTTAAAACCACCATGGTAGACACCTGTATTGTAACAGCAGCACGAGTTCCTGAAGGCTGTACCACAATGGCAAGGTTAACGAAAGCAGCTCAACCCAGATACCTCTGAGGGCCATCCGTCTTTTTAAACCATCAGCATACAAACCCTATTAACAACTAATGGGAACTGCAGGCATAGAAAGCATGCAACATGCCAGCATCTTTGCAGGGAGGAAAGACAAAAATCAGCATTCAAGGACTGCCGCAAGATGGCAGTACAAGAACAGCTATGAAGCACAAAGAGCCATGCTAGGACTGGTAAAAGGACACAAATAAACAAAGGCTGGGCTAATTTGCAGCCCTGCTCAGATGCACAGAAGTGCATACTGCAGACAGAGAACTAATCAGCAAGACTTGTCTGGGGATCATGTATCCTTGATTTGTCAGAGGAAGCCTGAAGCATCACTCTGATGCAGCCCATTCTCCCCTGCCCCAAAGCTGAGCTGCTCAGTGCTGGTGCAATAGCCCATCCTCAAATCACAGGAGTTAACCCCCAGTATGGGAGAGCCAGGACAAACAAATATTCACATATTGAGAAAGAAAAGCTGCCTCCCTCCCCTACTCCATATTCAGGCAGAGCTAAAGCAGAACAGAAGCAGAGTCTTAGATCCCAGCACTGGGCTTCAATAACGCTGTCGAAAGGGATTTGCTTCCTAGCAAGACAGTCATGAACAGCAAGACGGTGCATTTAAATGCCAGCTATTACATCCTAAGAGCCGGATTTGGACTCGTTTGCAGTATGTAATGTGTAAATGCAGGGAAAAGATGGCTCTTGCCCCAAACAGTTTACAATCTAATTAGAAGATACAAGACAGATCATTCCTTTGTACGCCCCTCCGAGCCAATGTGGATCAGACATCAGACTGTCTTCAGCACTTGAGAATTGAGGTAGCTTGGGCAAAGTGCTTGTGATTATGAACATGTGCCAACTCCAGCAATTGGCATGAATCCGTATCTCTTTCAGAGCACACTGAAAGGGCTTGGCCTGTCTACACAGCCCAAGATTAGCCCTTCCACAATCAGAATCCTGCCCCCCACCCTTTTTTTTTTTAAAGTCTATTTTGGAAACAGAATAACCTAAACTGCTGAACGCATGTTTAGAGCAGAATAAAGGTGCCCACACCTGGCATAACTGCAGAACAGCTACCGCACTTTAAATGTGAACACGCTTATTTTTCAGTAGTTTCACCAGACAGACAAGCCTTGAAAATGTGCATATGCTCAAGCCTTCTTCCAATAAAGGAAGGCATCAAATGGCCAATGAAGTTATTCCTTCCTTAGACAGATTTCTCCAGGAATAACCATAGAAAGCAAATCTGATGAAGGAGAAGAGGAAGAAAGCAGTGCTGCTGTTAATTGATACATTAAGCACTATGGTAATGAGCAGGCTAGAAACAGGTTAAGATGAAACCGAGCTGTTTGCTAGCCATCTGCAAATATATGCTAATAGGAAGCCCCAGACAGAACGGCTAAAATGCAAGTAAAAGTGGAAAGCCGGTCACAGGAGCATCTCAAATAAATCAGCACACTTTAAAATGATGCATCCTTGTGTTTCTACACATGCACACACACAATAGGCTTCAAGGCTTGCAAAAACACTCACGCAGTTCAGACACAGGCATCAAATTGATTCTTGAAGATAAGCAGAGGAAGTAGTCTGGCTTCTACTCTTCAGGTTTGGGCTTCTGAAGTTTACAGTGAATTCAAATATAATCTTCGTTAAAGCCATCAAAAAATGAACTTGCAGCTCATGCAGCACTTCTATTGGAGTGCTCCCAAAGCCTCTTCAAAATAAATGTAATCAGTTATCACCCCTTTGGCAAAGAAGCTGGGGAAAGAAGTGTCTGGAGAATTTTCCTAATGAAATGGGGTTGGTTTGTCTGGGATTGGTGGTGGTGTTTAGCTGCAGATTCAGGAGAAGCAAATCCTCCAACCTGCTTAAGCCATGATGGGGCTTTTCCCCCCCATGTGATCCTGACACTCCAACAGTTACTTTAGGCCAGGGGTGAATGGTGACACTGAGGATTGCTGGCATAGAAGAAGCCAATGGGGACCAACATTTCTGGCAGGTTTGTCAGGAATTAGCTCCGCATCCTCCTCTTTGATCCCCTTCCTCAGTCCAATCTGCTGCTCTGCTTTCTGCTGCCTACTCTGCGCTCCCTACCTGAGCTCTTCTGCTTTCTGCTTCCTGCCCCGTGCTCCCTGTCTGATCTCCTGCTCTACTTTCTGCTTCTGCCCTATACACCGTAGTGCTGCCTGTGAAAATGAGGCTCATTTACAATCAGTGAAGGGGACAGAGCTCATAGAAACCATAGAAGAGTAAGGCTGAAAGGGGGTCATCTAGGCCTAAATGCCACCAGAAGCAGGATCAGCCCCCTCTCAACCACCCTACAAAAATCCAGTCCAACCTCTTAGCAAAACTACTCAGTCAACCCTCATGACCAAAAGACCCTGCCACAGATAAAACCAGAGGACAACAGCAGCCAGTGTCTGGTTGCTGCAGAGGTTATTAAAACATGCTTGAGAGATCCCAGGAAGAGAGTCTTGCCCTTCACTACAGAGGAAGACAAAAACCTCCACCGTTCATACCAATCTGACCACGGGGTAAAATCCCTTCCAGACTCCAAATAGTCAGTCAGACCCCAAGCAGAGGGGCAAGAGCCTCTAGCCAGAAACCTCCAGGTGCAAGTCCCAGCAGGAGCAGTGGCACACCCCGGTCACAATCCTGAGCCTTGGCTGCAGCAGCCTTCATATTGCAAAGAGGGTGGGACAGAGAGGGAAGAAAAGGTCTTGTGAACAAATGTTTAAAGGATTAAGATCAAATTTAATTCATATATGGATTAAAGCAGACGCACACACAAAGCAGTGACTTATTGACTTCCTGGAGTTCCTGGAATTCTCCTCCCACCCCTGCAGCGGCCAGGCCAGGGGAAGTGTGCGCTTGGGCACACCCCCGGTTTTAACACCAGGAGGTAAACAAACACTTCTCTCTGTGTCAGACAGAAATGCTATGAAAGATAACTGAATCTATTTTCATACTACTATACATTTTACTGATAAAAAACACAGTCACTTGGCATGCAGTTGAATATGGCTCACTTCTATATTTAGGCTGTTGCTACTGAAGACAACTCGGAATACACCTCTCGGGCAAATAAATCTTGTTGCATCTGTCATCCCCAGCTACTTTAGACGCTGACAAGTTACAGACATGCATCCTTCAAACAACAGTAAAAGGCAGCCACATCTGGGTGCAATACAGCATTTCTAAATATTTAGAAAGGGAAGTGAGTGTTTCTATCCAACTGAAATGCCACAGAAAATGTAAGCAGACCAGCTGTAGCTGCTCATGGTGGAATTTGGCCAGGGCACCAAAGTTAACGTCCCATGTCTCTCAGCGCGCCAATGAGCCTAATAACTAGGAGTGTCCAGCATCTCTGTTTTACCCCTGATTGCAACCTCTGCTAGCACAAATCCAGTCACACCAGGATGAGACACTGTTTTAGATTTGATGGACAACCACTACCCAGAGAATTGCCAACCTCAGTTCGTCACAACCAGTTTTTTATTGCAGTACTAGTTAGCTTTTCACCAGTAAGAGAAGAGGTGACGGCCAGAGGTGGTGGGGCTGCAGGACAGATTTACAAACTTTATTAGTGAATCTTCAGAAAAAAAGATAGTTACATGAGTTTGTAGAGATTGAAGAAGAAAGAAGATACAGGACGCCATGCATGGTGACTACATGGAGCGCAGCTGGAGTATGTTGGTGCAACCTAAGACATGCAGTTGTCATGCAGCCTGTTAGCCCAGGGTAAAGGGGCAAGAAGAAAACATAGCATTGCATAACTTTGAGGAGGATATATGAACTCATGCATAGTAACCACCTACGTGTAGATTTGCAAGTTGACAAGATACACTCGGGTACAGGTTTTAGCATGTGGTGTAGAGCTGCCTGGGTGAGGGGCAGTCTAGGATATAAACAATCATTGCCAGTTTATGGCAAGTGTGACTGGGGTCTGGTCCTCCTCCTTGGTTTCTCTTCCAGCTGGTGGTCTTGGGCTGTTATAGCCACAACGCCAACTACATGGACTCATTTCAGGCTGCCAGGACATGCATGGTGAGTAAAATCTCCTCTTAATGCTACTGCATTTTTTCATGTCCCTGGATTCACTTGTGGACTACTTAAATTATGCCAGAAGACAGCTGCACGTTTAGCACCTTCTAACATCTAATTAAAAACCAAACCTGTCAACAGTTAGAGCGCTGCTACAAGGTGCATTTCTACAGAACCTACGGTAATATGCTTGGCAAATTATATATATGTGAATTAATCCTCACAAAAGTCATTACTGAAGTATTAGCCCCATTTCATAGGGAAAATTAAACTAACAGAAAAGTCAAATGGCTCGTCTAAGGTCACACTGAAAGATTACATGCAAGCTGGGAAATGAACACATTTCCCAAACCTGGTGCCATTATTTT